TCCAATCCAGGTACTCTTTTGTCTTAAGGAGAAGAATGCTAAAAAAATTAATTCACATCGATGGTTCTTTAATGCCTTTGGTCCAATTCTTGAACCTAATATATGTGTTCTTCTTGACGTTGGTACTGCACCAGGTTAGAAAATAATAACATCTTTTACATGATGCACTTAGTCTTATACAGTCAGATTTCACAGATAAAATGATATTCAGTAGGGTACCAATAGACCTCTATGGCTGCAAAATTTTGGCACAGAGAGGTCAATAGGGTTTCAATAGGTATCATTCAGAATAATAATATCAATAGGACATCAATAGGGTTTCAATAGGTATCATTCAGAATAATAATATCAATAGGACATCAATATGGCATCAATCGAGATTTTATAGTTACCTTTAGTTGTTATATATAAAAGTCAACATTTATTATGTAAACTGACATTAGTATATTAAGCAAAGTTGTTTAGGAAATCAAAATATATGTATCCGACTGATGTAAAATTCTAGATACATGCAGTTTAATATCTGAACAACCTTACTTAATACGCTAATATCAATATAATAAAATTTTTGACTTTTATATATATTGACTAAGGGTAATTATAAAAATCCCGATTAATACCCTATTATAGTGATAGGAATCGACTAAATATTGGTCGACTAAAATCAACTAGTCAATTAAAATTTGTTAGTTGACTAAAAATCAACCAAAAGTAAGAATAATGGTCATCCGAAATGATCCGAGATAGAACATAAATTACAAGCTCGGTTAGACAAATTTCTTGAGAAATATTCTGAAATATTCCGAAATCATGTCCATATTAGACACTTAGACTAATAGTCGACCAACATTCAGATTGGGATTGGTTGACTCAATTGATTCCTATCACTATTTAAATACATTATACGACTAGTCGATAGTCATAAAATTAGTCGACTGATTAGTTAACTAAACAATTTTAGTCGATTCCTATCACTATCCTATTGCATATCATTTTAGATGAATTCGTAAATGCACCCCTCGGTCTATAATAAAAAAAAAAAATCAAAATATGCATTTAGGGAGGGTATGTATTTATAGAGCAAAATTTATAGAACTTTTATAAGATGGGACAAAATTATATCCTGCATTTAGAGAGAATTTACATAGAGCGTGCATTTATAGAGAATTTACATAGAGCGTGCATTTATGGAGGTCTGACTGTAATATTTCTGCGAGACTATTTTTATAATGCTTTTATAGATAATAATCTATAATATATGATATTTTCTTTATAAGGTCCCAAATCCATCTATTACTTGTGGAAAGCATTTGATGTAGACTCTAAAGTTGCTGGTGCTTGTGGTGAAATAGTTGCCATGAAAGGCAAAGGCTGGAATAAACTATTGATTCCAATCGTGGCAGCCCAAAACTTTGAATATAAAATGTCTAACATTTTGGATAAGCCATTTGAATCAGTGTTTGGGTATATTACTGTTTTACCCGGAGCTTTTTCCGCCTATAGGTATATTGCTCTCCAAAATACTAAAAATGAGAACGGAGAGGAGGAAGGTCCTCTAGCATCGTATTTTAAAGGTGAAATTAATGATGAAAAAAAAGTTGATAAAAAAGAAGAAAGCATATTTACTGCTAACATGTATCTTGCTGAAGATCGTATTCTTTGTTTTGAATTGGTTGCAAAACGTGACAGCTCTTGGTTATTGCATTATGTTAAGTCATCCCAAGCCGAAACAGATGTGCCTGAAGATATTGCTGGACTGATTAGTCAGCGAAGACGTTGGTTAAACGGATCCTTTTTTGCTAGTTTTCATGCCATTCTACATTTCTATTATATTTGGAGAAGTGGTCATTCTATATCTCGTAAAATATTTTTGCATATCGAAATGGCGTATCAAGCATATAATCTTTTTTTTTCATGGTTTGCCTTAGTAAGTATAAGTTATTTTTTATTTATATATACACTTTATACATTTGTATTTTATTATTTATATCGATTTAATATTTTTATAGGGAAATTTTTATTTGACATTTTATATTTTGGGTCAGGCACTATCTAATCCATCTAATCCACAAGCTGCGCCCTGGAGTCCAAATGTTGGAAACGGCTTATTTATAGTCTTGCAATATACTTACATTGGATTAGTAATTACGCAATTCATCTTGGCTATGGGACACAGACCTCAAGGGTAAGTATTAAATTTTAATGGTTCATGGTTTTATTTTATTTTATTTTATTTTTTACATATTTTAATATATATATGTGTGTGTATGTTTTTTTTTTTTGAATTAATAGTTCCAAATGGGCCTATAGAATTTCAATAATATTCTTTAGTTTTGTTATGATCTATATGTTATTTTCAGCCTTCTGGCTTACAATTAAGGGCATCGATGTTGGGGTAGCTTCATTGGGTCCCAATGCAGATTTAAAGTCTACTGCTACTGTAAATGCTATTCTTAAGAATACTACTTTTAGTAACATTATCCTTTCATTAGTTTCCACATATGGCTTGTACCTAATAGCAAGTTTTATGATGTTTGATCCGTGGCATATGTTTATTTGTATTTTACAATATATATTGTTGGTACCATTTTATATTATTATCTTAAATATTTATGCTTTTTGTAATATCCATGATGTTAGGTAATGTATATTAAAATTATATATATATTTATTTAAATATATTTATTTTTATTTATTTATTTATTTATTTTTAATATTTATTATACTAATTTACTTTTTTTTGATATTTATAGTTGGGGTAATCGACCAGATGTATCAAAGTTACAGAAAGCTGTCAATGTTGTGTCTAGTTCGGGAAAGCCTACAGTCGAAGTTACAGTGCCTGAAGATGTTAACGATGTATATAAACAAGCACTTGATGCAGTAAGGCAACCAAAGGTTGATGATGTATCGATTGCTACACCATCACAAAAAAAAGAAGATTCTAGAAAATCGTTTCGAACAATGGTTGTGCTTCTTTGGATTTTTAGCAATGCATTATTAATAATCGTAGTCACATATGTTAGTGGTGATGCATCAAGAACGGATAAATATATGGCGATTATTCTTTGGTCTGTTGCTGGATTGGC